ACACAGGGTTTTCCTCAGACACAAGCGAATGGTTTACTCCACTCTGGAGAAGAACACAGTTTGCTCTCTCGAACACCAACCGCAGATAACTACGGAATGTAGGAAGTGCAACAACTGCTAGAATATTGAACTGTCGTCCACACAAAACAAATAAAGACAACTGAAAACCAAAACACATGCAACTGCCAACATGCATGTAACAGCAACTGCAAGCCAGAACTACAGACTCCGCGCAGGGAGGAACAGGGGAAACAGAGCTAACGCTTCCGACTCCGAGAGCTTCGAATAGCAGCGGACAAAACAATCCATCAACCTTGCGTGTCACCTTGCGCTACCGCAAACGAACACCTATGGATGCACAGTGCAGCACAGACTCAGTGCATGCACGGTGTAATAACTGGAGTACATGTAAACCGACAACGGTCACCTTGCACCCTATGCAGTAAGTTACATAGGCGGTGCCAACAAAAGAGCAGGGTTTGTGTATCGTGCACACTCCAATGGCACAGCAGAAAATGTTCTCACCAACAGCCACTGCTAGCTGTTTTGTTATCTTGCTGTGCCAAATGATGCTGTATAGACGCGCCAAGCAGAAATGGACTGCTTATGAGCGTGAACAGGCTGGATGGGGTGACTGATGGACTGTCGGAGTTGGCGAACCACAGAAATCGTGTCGCAACTCTGTATGCTGGGTTGGCACTGATTTGTAAAATGGCCTTCTCAGTATCGCAGGTCATGACGATTGGTGGCAGGCAAAATCGTAGAACAATGATGAATTGCCTAATGGCTAGGTCGTTGTTAGTAAGATTGCCTGAATCCTGGATGTCAACACAGTCTAGGTCCCACAGATCTGGGATGGTGCAGGAGTCGGAAGTTGCATCAGTTAGAGAAACGATAGCTGGCATGGCTGCTCATCGGCGTAGCTGAGTGCTTGGAGTGACGTGTTCGGCCAGTCACCACAAAACCGACTGTGGTAGGCAGAAACTGTAGTCCTGGCGGAAGTCCTCTGGTGCTCCACGTCAACTGAGACTCCCAGAGGAAATCTGCACCGATCAAGACGACTGACTATCTTACGGTCAATGGCGATACTGGTTGATGCTGCACTAGCTGCTGTTGCGCTAGATGCTGGTACCTCGTCAGCCACAGGCTGGTCAGCTACTATGTTGGTACTGCTGTCAGATTTCTGTTGAGATTCAGGGCAGATCGTGACATGATGGTGACTCTGATTGGTGACCCATGCGAGAACACACATTACACTTGCGGGTGGCCTTGCACTGAGTTGACCGGTGCCCTGTGCGCAAACACACAAAGCAACGCTTCTGTTCAATCAGTTATTCTTTCCGCTGTGCTACTGTTGTGTATTTCGCGCAGCTCTTGTCCAGGTGAGATCCGCCGCAGAATGCACACCCTCTCATACTGCTGGCATTCCAGTTAACATCAGACCGCTTCCTTCTGGTGAACTTGCATGCGCCTGTCACCAGTGCACCTGCAGAATAGTGAGTGACATCTTCTGCTGTAGTACCGCCTGTGTTTGTGCGGCGCAGAAAGGCGTCTTGCATGATAACATAACGCTTCAGTGCTGTTCTGAAGTCATTCAGTTTCCATTGTGTCCCTGCATCTGAAAAGCCTCGCGATTCGTCCAGTTGAATCAGCGTTCGGCATGATCCGTATCTTGGTCACAGCACCGTGTGACGATCTGGTGACATCAGACGGATATAATACACAAGAGACAATTGTGATATTTCTACGTTGTGTTTACTTCAGATACATAATCTAAATAAAAGGGGGGTTGTCAACCGACAACCGCTCTATTTAGTTGCTTTTCACTCTTTAGATGAAAATTCTTTTATTAATTATGTCGAAAAATTATTCGGTTGTCAGTTGACAACCACCCTTTAATTTACACTGCAGTTGCGTGATGTCCACCATTTTCTGTACATAATCTAAGAGTACTAACAGCCACTGACTTCCACTGTGACTATCAAGGGAAAGCAAGCCCAAGCGCAGGAGAACCGTGCGCGCGCGCGGGTACGTGACATGTAATATCGTAGTAGAGCTGGCAGGCAAGGCATGATCAGGGGTTCAGGCCCTGCCTGTAAACGCTCTGATTGGCTCAAACCCTGGCAACAATCACGTGACATGTCTGAAAGTACAAGTAGTTGCGATTTATGCTGAAGTTCTAGCTAACAGAACACGTGCAGCGCTACACCATGAACCGTGTGGAAACAAAAATAAGTAGAGGAGACACGGGATAAGAGACATAAACTCAGGGTCAAACTGATAACTGTGAAACGTGAATGCATGCAGTATATGGAGACAAAACAAAGTCACAGAATTCAGTACGTAACAAGTACTACACACTAACCTCGTACATGAGAATGTCACGACACCATTTGAATTAGCTCTTACACCCCACTTATGTTTCAGTCAGTAAGAGTACACATGCGTACTTACGTTGACTCTATTTTATCTGACTTGTCCAACACCATCGTTGTGAGCCTTCGGCACTTGGGAATACACAGGACGGATAAGATAGCAGCAAGAGCATCTCCCCGCTCTGTGAACACAGCTCAGACGCCATGCTTCATGATTGTGTGCCCATGGAATACAAGGACACAATAGACTTGGTGCAGCTAACGAAATGGATGAACGGTCGACGGCCTAAGTGTTCTCCTTCCAAGTTCCTCGATCAACACTGACAGTCACCACATACCATGCTTGATGTTTCAAGCACCATCGGCGCAGGCCAAGTTTTTCGGCACCGACGATTTGTTCGTCCACCAAAAGTCGAAACAAATGTTTCTCATTTGAACACTCCATAGAGCTGCCGCTGTTGTGCCAAGGCCCATTGGCGCATGGTGTGTATACTCCAAATCTACATGTATGATGATGGGTCACTGCTGACGTTTCTGCTCTTGGACAGTGCAACGCCGCATGAAGATATGTTGTGGCTCCACAATCGCTGAGAACGCTAGTGTGCGTCCATGGAATACTAAAACACAATAGGCGCGGCGCAGCTAACGCCCACTTGGATGAATCGGAGTGGTGGCGAGTGCATTCTCCTTCCTCGGTGAACACTGCTGGTCACCCTGTTTGATGATCCACCAAACACCGTCGGTGCAGGCCGCGTTTTTCGGAACCAGCCATTTATTCGTCCACCAACAATTGAAATTAATGTTTCTCACTTGAACACTCTGTAGAGCTGTCGCTGTCGTGACAAGGCCGTGTATACTCCAAGTCTACATGTAGGATGAAGAGTAAAAGTTACTGCTGATAATAAAGTTTGCGCTCGTGGACAATACAACGCTGTGTGAAGTAAATTGTGGCTCCACAATCGCTCTGAATGCTAATGTGTGTCCATGGAATACTAAAACACAATAGGCGCGGTGCAGCTAACGCCCAACGTGGATGAAACGGACAACAGCAGCGACTAGAGCGTTCTCCTTCCTCGATGAACACTGCTACAAGACATTATGCTTGATGATTCACCAAATACCATCGTTGGGGGCCAAGTTTTCCGGCGCCAGCGAGTTGTTCGTCCACCAACTATTAAACTTTGATGAGTCTTTCTTCAACACTTCGTAGAGCAGCCGCGCAAGGCCTTTCCTTCGCGTTAGGGTAGCGATCCTTCCTAGATGATATCGCTATTCATTGTTACTTTTTACTACAATGAGTAGTGTTTCTCCGAAAATAAAGTCAGCTGCCTGGGCATTACTTCCATTAGGCATTAGACTGATTAGTGCTGCCTAGGCCTAGCGCCTGGACTTGGAAAAAAATTGATTTTGCAAGTCTTCAATCATGTTTGCATGTACGCGCTATCCAGCCATGTGGCGTGAACAGAGAGCCTGACGTGAAAGGTAGCGCGGGCGCGCGCGAGTCGATCGTACGCGCTCGCGGACGTGTCTGACACGTGAAACGAAAAGATTTTTTTGGCGGGTAGTCGGCAAAAATTAAGTGACGGTCCCTTTAGTCCTTCGCCACTTGCGAGTCTTCAATCATGTTTGCATGTACGCGCTATCCAGCCATGTGGCGTGAACAGAGAGCCTGACGTGAAAGGTAGCGCGGGCGCGCGCGAGTCGATCGTACGCGCTCGCGGACGTGTCTGACACGTGAAACGAAAAGATTTTTTTGGCGGGTAGTCGGCAAAAATTAAGTGACGGTCCCTTTAGTCCTTCGCCACTGGGGACAAACAAAAGTCGCGTCCTCTGGATGGAACCAGATGTCAAGGGCAACAGCATCTAAAATTAATGACTGGAGAGACAGTTGTTTTTCTTTGCTTTTTCTTCAAGCGATTGTTGTCGCTCTTTACTCCTTGTTCTTTCCTCTACAAAACTCCTGTAGTCGTCGAGTGCCTTCATGATGGCTGTGAAATTGGCTGCCCACAGTAAAACTCCGTGTTTGAGAGTGCTTTGAAGATGTTTCGCGTCCTGATGGATCAAAGTATGAGCGTTCCCTGTGGATTCGATTATATATAGGTGAGTTGTTCAAGAAATCAGTGTCTTCTTTCTGTCTCTGCCCTCACGCTGGCACAATATCAGCCTCTATATCCATGACAGCTCGTACCTCCCGTAAACTGCATGACTTAGATATATTTTCGCCCTCCGTGGTGATTGAAGACCCATGGAAGAATTTATTATGTTCAGAATGATGTCCTAAGAATATAAAATAAAATAATTCTAGGGAATTGTCATAGGGTATTTTTGGAAGGATGGAGACAGAGAGCACTGTTTGAAGTGTTTGTCTCACTGTAATTACTCCAGATTATTGAATTTTGTATGATCTACTCTATATTTTCCATAATGTTTTTTCCTGATTTGCGGGATCTCTTCTTTTGCTGTTTGCGTGTTTACAGGAAGTGGCTGTCTGGTGTAACTGCACCAGATCCTGGGGAAATTAAGTCAGATGCAGAGGCAGGGTCGTCCAGTGATGCAACACTGCCGTTCTGTGTGCAACGTTACCGCTAATACCCCCGGCGAAAACACAAAAAAGACAAACACGTGAAAAGACTACAGTATTGACCGTTCTGCTAATAAATGCAGGACTGCTCCGACAGTCGATAATCGAAACACAGAGCACCAGCATGATGTTTTCATATTGGGAACCACACAACAGCTCAATTCTCAAGCCCAAAAATTGATGAATACAAATACAGAGCGACGCAACAAGAGGTCATCCGGCAACCAAACAAACCTGGGTCTAATGCACTGAATGGTCCTGAAATAGGCAGGCCAGGCAAAGCAGTGCAAGCACATAATGTTACAAGGTACATGCATTGCAGAACAAAGTGTAACCAAAGATACACAGGGTTATAGCTGCACACTTGTGCATGTGCTCGCTCAGCCCAAGAACACACGATCATGATGATAGAAACAATCCGGGGGAAACACGCTAACACCGAAGTAAGCGTCAACACGTAAATAGTGCAGCTCTGAAAAAATTACATTGACATGAACATTGGTGTGTCGAGTAGTATCAGGCTTGAATAATCATCCAACCAAGACTTCATCAGGTCCCAGACGCTGAGATCGCACGCCGAATGTGAAGTGCATCTAGCCTTGAACCTGTCGCACAAGGCACACATATATGGCAAAATGACATCCACTCTGATTATTTCCAGAGGCCAATCATGACAGAACACAGAAATGAAACCGCGGGCTCAACCAAGTAAACGCAAAGGAAGTTAGTCAAAATAATCCATGCAGTGCTCTTTTAATTGCAGCGCTGATTGCAGTGTTGCGTCATAGCCCGATACCCGCTGAGCACAGACACAACTCCATTCGTCAGGGGCAAGACATACTCTTTTGGAATAAAGTCATAAAGTACAGCGTTCCAATGACATTACGGACACCTCGTGTAAATGCATGGTCTGTTCATCTGGCCGACTCGGCCACGCATGAGAGTGTGTGCATGTACATGCGCGCGCTTGCGCGCGCGCACACACACACACCATGTATTCGGTGCGTATGGTGTACCAGTTGCGGGACAATGAAGATGGAATCATTATCATGATGTTACATGTACACAAGAGTACATAACCCCCCAGAGTGTGCAACGCCTGATCCAGCTCTGCATAGGGTCTTGGTCGAGCGGAATCGGATCTTTGCGTCATAATACCGTACACATCTGAGGGGAACCCGGGGAGTCGCGGGTACTCTTGGATCAAAAACAATGGTGCCCTGCCTCGAGACCGGCCTTGCGCTGGTGTGGAGTGTACGCATGACATCAGAAGATCCGATTCCGCTCGACCAAGACCCTATGCAGAGCTGGATCGGCGTTGCACACTCTGGGGGGTTATGTACCGTCTTGATGTACATCTACAGTGTATGTTTGAGTGTAAAGTAAATTTTATTTTATTGGACATTTCTTCGACACAACTAATTACTTACTTCACATGTTCGCATTTCTCATAATCGATCCACCTGCACTCCGTATCAGTCGAGGAAAAATTCTCCTAGATATACACTAGTCACCACAGCCATGTGATGACATTGGGATGGGCCCCAAGCAGTGCACGATTGCACTCTCTAGTTACAATAAATTTGGCCAGATTATCTGTGAAGACAAATGCAATGCATAGCGCCAATCGATGGATGAAGAGAGAGTTTGTAAATACCCATATCTTTCCACTTGTTCAGGAGCTTACCTTTTGGAGTTCACATCGTTTACACGATCTCTCATGCTGTCTTGCACCTTGGTTTTGTTGACCATGGATACGCCAACCCAGAAAACATTCTACAGGAGCTACTAATGCAGAGCGTTTTTCACGCTCGATCTCGGCGATCTACCTTGTCACGCCAATAAAATCCTCCATGACACTGGCTACAGTCACAAGAGACGTCTCAGTAAGGTAATGAGCACGACAACATCGTCGAGATCAAGGACAAAGAGAAAACAAAACACTCACTGAAAACAGCAAAGAAGAAACGAAGAAATGTACACGATTCCTATATGTTGCCACTGACAACTGGGTCGGTGGAGACGACGCTACTTTTGTTTGTCCCCAGTGGGATCGTTGTTATGCGTATCGAAGGAACTGTGACGTCATCACTTAACAGCCCCATAGTACAGGTCGTCCCCCGTTAATACGAGTCCGGTTAGTACATAAACCCCGTTAGTACATAAGAAATCTCAAGTCCCGGACGAAACGTGGTCACTTCCATACAAATTTTGTCGGTTAGTACATAATTCGTTAGTACATAAACCCCGTTAGTACATAACATTTCTCCGTACCCGCATGCCACCTACCTCAATAGTACATAATTTGTTGGTCTTTTGGCCTTCCATGTGGAGGCACGTCGTGTTCTAGTTTCTACTTGTGGACGCAATTAGCTCAGAAATCAGAGCGCACATCACAAACTGACAAAGCTCTGGTTTTTTCCGAGTGACTGTACAGGCGCGGCTGGGCATGTATCATGTAAACTGTAGAATCTTCGCTGACTGTGACCGTTATAACATAATTTTTATGTTATATCGAGGGAATCAAGAATATCTCGCTCCCTAGTCATATCATGGCAGCAAGAAACACTCAGAAAAGTTGAAAAAAGTGAAAAATTCTAGTATAGAAGCAAGTTATGTACACTTTCGTTTAGTACATAAACCCCGTTAATACATAACATTTGTCAAGTCCCACAGATTATGTATTAACGAGGGACGACCTGTACATGTAGTTTCATGCCCATACTGGGCCATAGCCTATACTAGGCTATAGTCTGTTTCAAAAAGATTAGCAATCAGGTTTTGGTCTTAAAAAGTATGAAGATAAGGGAAAATTGGACAACGAAATACATAAAAGGGCTGGTTAGGGCACGGCAAATTGTTCTGTGACGGTTTCGGACAAGCCGTTAAGGAGTTAGAATTTCGGCCAGGTTTCCGGCCTTTTCCCATGGTTTGCAATTTGCCCTGGAAGCCAGTATCGATTTTTCTATCAAAACCCACGATTTATCTTTTCCTTTCTGGCCTTGTGGTTATGGATGCTGTCTGCTGACCATGAAGTAGTGAGTTCAAACCCCAACCTATCTTCAACTCACACTTTTTTTCATTGTTTTTTGGTGATCAAGCAGACTTGTTGTTCACGATTGTTGTTGTTGGAGCTCCCGCTTCCTCCCGAACTGACTGACACTTGACTGGATCACGCCATGTGAACACACCCACAACACTGAAACGGTGTGAGTGAATACGGAAGTCATTGCGCTGTAGCTACGTGTTGAATACACCGGCACATCGATCGATCGATTTCTTTTTGAGAATTATTTTAGTATTTCAAGATCGCCAATTTATTTGAATTTAGAAGTCAACGCCGTCTTCTATCAGCTTCCACAGGTGTCTGCTTTTCTCAAAATGTTGTCGAAGTCATACGGATAGCTTCGCCAAGTCATGGCCTTGGGAATGAGTCTGTGTCGATGTCGTTTTCGTCACATGGTGAGAGTAAATTGCATCGCAGCTCAAAGAAACTATTCGGTCACAAAACATATTCGGACCCATGCCGCTCGTCAGCCTTGGCATTTACTACACTTTCGACATGTCCTCTCTGACTCCATGATCGATACGAGGAAGAACTCGTTTGTTGTGAACCAGATGTACACGACTGTACCGACATCGACCTGAGTGAGTTGTCATTTTTCATGCTTTCGCGCGGAATATTTCTTCGAGTTGACAGTGAGTTTTATCAGGCAGCGCTCGAGCGCTCATACGGTAAGACGGCAAACTCCCCGGGCGATCACCAGGATTGCTAATCTTTTTGAAACTGACTGTACAGTCCATCCTCGCGACCCTCGAGGCCTCAAGCGTTCCATCGAGACTTACACTGATTTTTGCGATCTTTTTCTTGAGAACGATTCTCACCCTGAAAATGACTTTCGGCGACTGACGTGAAAGAACACTCATGACACCCACCTCGTCGAATGGAGCATGCATTGTTTGTGGTGTATGGGTGCAGGAAGGTGGTATGTTCGCGAGGTGCATATCGAAAATGATCCGGAAGACTTTGTGACGATGCTATTCGGCGGAGAACATTTGAATTTTTCGTACGATTCAGAGCAGTCGGCGAAAACGAGCCAGTAACCTGAAAGGAGGGCGTGAACAGGTGTAATTTTCGACAATGTGGTTGCCCTCGACCCTGCTCTCGGACATTCGAGTAATGGTTATGGCAAAATCGATGGTGCTCCAGGTTTTTCAGACGCATTTCTTGACCATACTCAATTCCGTAGATAAACCTGTGCACAGAAAGCACGCAAGAGTTCAAACTAACTGCACTGTATTCAGTTCACGTGCTTTCCACAGATCCAAAACACTCCTGGGACCAGGAAAGAGGACAATACGCTGCAGTATAGACGTGCACACTGCGAACACGCCCATGCGCCACTCCTGCACACCCGTGTCGGACATCACATACTGGCCATGTCACGGTGCCGCAGACGTAATGGGTGTGCCCCACACGCTTGCGTTACACACGTTTAGATCTTACATGCACGCGTGGAGCACAAACATGCGTGCCGCGGATACACACACACTGTTCGTACATGCCGGATACATTTCGCATACATCACATGTGTGTGCCACACCGTCGGAGGAATACAAACGAGCACGGATATGCACACATGAGAGCTAGAACAGTGTAGTAGCAATAGCTGAAACAGAGAACGCGACACGGGTGGCCGAGCAAGTGACATACAGCATAAACAAGACAAACGTACTTTGTACATTCACATACAGTCAAATTCTCTAATAACCACTGCGTATACAACGACAATTCGCGAATACGACAGAATTTCCATGCCCAGAGCAAAGTGACACACAGCATAAACAAGACAAACGTACGTTGTACATTCACTCACTTTTAAAAGTTTGTATACATGTATGTGATTGAATTGATATGCTTTGGTTTTCTTTCCTCAAATGAGAAGTGACGCGTGCATGGTATATGCATAGACCGTTGAAGTTCGTGTGAATGCATCAGACGCACACATGTACAGGACACTTTGCATTTTTCAAACTGAAACCGTATACATAAGCATGCGCGCGTGTGTGTGTGTGTGTGTGTGTGTGTGTGTGTGTGTGTGTGTGTGTGTTTGTGTGCGGGGGGGGGGGGGGGGGGGTACGTGTGAAGAACAAAAACCAGTACTGCTAAATTGATAATGCAGGCCAAGCAGAGAGGAACGCAAAGCAGACAGTCACCTCTACATTATAATCTTCTACAAATAACACATACATGTACATGTAGCTTCATAAGCAGAAAACGAGATATTGTGAGCGCGACAGACAGACTCACACACACACACACGCGCACACACACACACACACACACACACACACACACACACACACACACACACACCCCCCCCCCACAGACTAGGGTCGAGCGGATTCTGCCGGCAGAAAAATTGGCAGAATTCGGTACTTTTTCTGGTAAGGTTCATGCATGTTTGGTATGTGGATAAAAAAAATGGAGCAGAATTCGAGGAATTGCCCGCCATAAGGTTTGTATGGTTTTGCCAATTTCACTGCTTTTCGAGCAGAATCTGCCACCTTTTCGAGCAGAATCCGCCGGTCCCTACCACAGACACACACCACGAGACCATAAATCTGAAACGGCATGCATTTTGACACACACACGCACACATGCACACAC